GTACAAGAGTGGAATTATGTCGAAGTAGAATAGTTCGAGACAAAATTTTATATATGTAAGAGTATAGAGTACTCGAAAAACTACCGTGTATCGATTTTTTACTTCATTTATTACTTATAACCAATCAGAACTGTAAAATACCCCAGAAAGAGTATAAAAACAAACTTTGCAAAGCGAGGATTGAACTCTGCAGATCCTATTAATATGGCAAAATATATTGTAATACAAAGTTTGTCATGGTATAAGCCTCAAATAATAATCGTTAGAGAGAGTTAGAGTATTCAAATTCCGTACAAAGGCTTTGAGCTACGCAGATCCATGAAATATTGAAATGATAGACAGCAGACTCAAATGCACAGAGCAGACTCTTGAGCCCCCATCAAATATTATTGGAGTATAAGCTTTGAATGCGATGGTTACATAGTGTAAGCCCCAACGAGAATATCCCCCAGATCATGACAGAAGGTAGGGAATGGCCAGCGCATAACCTCAACAATGAAGTCAAGCGAAAATGGGCTCAGTGCGTGGGCGTTGTCCTTTAGGGTTGATTGCCTATTTTTGCTCCTTTTTTGTGGTTTGGTGATTTTATACCACTTGTGGCTATTGTTTAGAGTAAAGAGAGTTGTGCCAATGAATTTCCGTTTGTTTTTACAGCCGGGAAAAGGAAATGAAGTGAAGCAAATGCGAATGCGAATGCGAATTGCGAATGCTGGCCGAATATAATTCGCACTTGACTTTTGGCTTACGGCACAGAATGGGATTCTAGTATGTGTGTGTGTGTGTGCGTGTTTTATTTAAATAAACAAGAAATTATGTGGCAAAATAGTTGTCCACTGCAGACACTCTTTAGCTATTTATAGCCGACGTGTTATTTATTTAGACTGCCGTTGCTGCTTGCTTTAATATTTAATTGGAAAAACTCGCGCCTCAATGTCGTCATTCGACTATAAAAATAAATACAGCGCATCGAGCATACGCCGCGTCGTCCGACAATCTAAATCACAGACAAAGCGCAGAGCATTGACGTTGATATTTCTAAGTTGGCCGCAGAAGTTCTCTTGACGTCTATTTCAAATTTCCATTTGTTTGCACCCATTTAGCAATTAAAATTTTATGAGCGTTCGCGAAATCCTGTGGGCAAACATTTCGTTTACCCTTTAGTTGCGCCTCAATAACTTGGCCTTAGACTTGGGCAATAATTGACGTATATATTCTTTTTAATTATTTGTACTTGTCTGCTATCTGTGTCGTTCGTTGTTCTTCTCTTCTTGCTGTTGTTGAAGTCTGCAGCATCCTTTGAAGTTTTTTTTTTTTTTTTGGTTCTCCGGTTGTTTTTCTTTACTTGGGGTTTTGTCTGCAAAAAGTTTGCCGCGGCAACATTTCATTTGGCCAATTTGGACTTAATATGAAAAACCCCTAATTACGAATTCCAGGCGAAAAGAAAAAAAATATATACAAATAAAAAAGGTTGGCCCCAAACCCAAATATCTATTGAATTCAATGTAATATTGGTGCTCATTCAAGCTTAAAGCAGATAAAATTAGGCAAGGCAAGCGCTCAGTTACAGGTAATAATTGGCCAAGAAGCCAAGCAGCCGAAAAGTATTTGTATACCCTGTGGGTGAAAACTGATAGGCAGAGGGTGTGTTGAGTCATGTGGGTCAAGATGATACAATGATGTATCTCGGGTTAGGTAGATTGACCTTAGGGTATACATTTATGTTGTTTGCTTGATTGTAAATAACATGAGTAAAAATTAGATAATAGTCATATGATACACATTTCTCGTGAGTCGAATTGTACGAATGTTACGAGATATTCTCCTTCATCTCTTAAGCTCTGCTCTTAAAGAAAGCACATAGGATATGCCTTGGTGTAACAATTTCCACCCAATTAAATCACTTCCCATTTTTTTTTTTTTTTTTTTTTTTTTTTTTTTTTGCCTCTTTAATCAATAATTCAGCTGCGACTGAATTTCAATTTGCTGTCTCACAACCATGCGGGCTCAACTTGAGAGCCTCTCCTTCATACAAACCCGACAAAAAAAAGCAGAGTGGGAGCAAGAGAAGAGCAAAACTTCGGACTGACCCAAATAGAATCAACAAATGTTGCTTAAAGTGCTGATGGTATGCTTGGACCATAAAACTTTGTCAATATTTCCGCAGCGTGCGCATCGTTGACTGCGGTCTCTGGGTGAGAGTAAATTTCTGGTCGAATTTAGTGGAGGCAGACACTTTAAGGCAAACAGCTGCGTCTAGTTAATAGGGGGCAGCGTTTAATGTGATTTGAGAGACTTAAGTCTACAAAGGCCTATACTTCGTTAAATTTGGTAAAAGATGGCACTGGGAGCGAGAGTGGGAGTGGGACTAAGAGTGGTGGAACTGGAGCTGGAGCTGGAGCTGGAGCTGGAGAGCAGCTACTCCTTGTTTAAGGCGTCGCGTTCGACTTCAAAGCAACATTTTACACATAAATCAATTTGCAAAATGTATTTTTCAGCATTAAGCTCAAGTTACAGACCCTAACACCTGCAGGAGCTGTCACCTACATTCAAAAAAAAAAAAAAAAAAAAACAACAACAACAATGTTGAAGAGGCCAACAAAAAGTGTTTTGTTGTTGTTGTTGTCGGTGTCGTTTGTCATTTTGAGACTCGATTTGCAGTGTACCCTGCTCCAGGGCTTAGGCCTGCTGCCCCTGCCCTCTACCCCTTCTCCTCCCTGAGGACCCCCCTCGCTTGTAACTTTTAACAGCCTCGCTAATTTCCACTCATTATGCGCTTAATTATGGCGCCTCTTGACAAAAGTCGTTGCGTGCTTTTAGGCGTTTTTGTTTGTTCGTTTGTATTTGAGCCCTTTCTGTTCGCAATTTATGCACTTACCTAACTCACACCAGCCCGCCGAGCCTTTGCTTCATCTTCCACTGCTTGTATTTAACATAATTATTTGTATATTCAATTATATACAATAAATCTAATTGAAGTCTGTGCAAATAGCTGCTGTTGACACTGCTTTAAATTCAATATGAAGTTCACTTGATTCGATTTGCCTTTTGCATTCTTTAAAGTCATATTGCATCATGCTTTGGTCTCGACGTTGACCATGCCCCCTCCGCTCTGTCCGCCTTCCACTAGTTGCTTCTTCCCCTGCAGCTGTCGAATGAACATAAATAAAATCAGTCGCTGGCAGTTTGGCTTTTAATCGAGTTGAACGTAAAATGCAAATAGTAGAAGCAAAATTAAATCAAACAATTTCAATCGAGTGTTATACACAATATCCTAAATAAAACAAATAAATATATATATATATATATGAATCATGCTTTGCCAGGCGTAAGCGAATGAAACGTGTCAAATAAACTATTATATATACAATAAGCTGCATTAAATAAAAAATAAAAATATAATCAACAATAACTGAGGAAGAGTAAGAGAGAGAGGGAGTCATTCAGAGAAATTAAAGAGGAGAGAGGTAGACAAAGATGTCAAGAGACAGAGAGAGAGAGAAAGGGAGATAGAGACGCGGGGAAATAAATAGAGAGAGCAGTACAAAGAGAGAGAGAGAGAGAAACTCGTGAAGAGAGCGAGAGGTGAACAGGCAGAGATAGTATAAATAGATAGGGAAGGAATGGGTTTGAAAGAGAGTTTAAAAGAGAAAGCAAGATCAGAAAGAGAGAGAAAAGATCAGAGGAAGAACAAGACAAAGAGCTAGAAATTAAGATAGACAACTTGATTTAAAACTTATAGTGAACCACAAGTGAGTGTGAGACTTTCATGTGTGTCGTACTCGTCTTATGCTTGTCAGACCCTATGACGTGCCCTTCTATGCGATTCTCAAGAATTAAAGTTACCCTTGTTGATCTCGAGGCATTTTCAGTACTGTGACTGACAATGTGTGTGTGTGTGTGTGTGTGCGTGCTAAAGGAACTCAACATATGGAGAAAAGTAAGTACAGTATTCAATTCTATTTAACAATATTATAACAATAATATATTTTTTCATTGCAGGTCAGCTATGCCGTATGCATTATTTATATTCATTGCATATCAAATGTCAAGCTAAAAATATATGTATATATATATGTATATATATAAGCTAATCAAGCGTCTGTCATGGTGTCGCAAATAAATGTTGGATTACAACTTGGCAAATTGAAAAACTTGCTGACTGCAAAGTTTGCTGCGTGCCCCAGCGAAGATTTTTTGCAAACAAAAGCAAAAAGCGTATTGCAGTTGCAGCAGCTGTTGCTGCAGCAGCTGTGCAGCACCTGAGTGGGTTGAAGCCAGAGAGATGTATAGATGGACAAAGGAAAGGAGCACAGTCACGGTCAAGGAGAGGACGTCAGCTGGGATTGTTGAAGTTTATTTGAGTTGGGTGACCAGCAGAGAATTGTATATTACGCGGGTTTGCGTGCAATTAACGCCGCACAATACTTGAAAGCCGTTTACCCTACTTTTACCCCACTCAAATTCGCGCACTCGATATGGCCATTAGCCATGACATGCCTGTCCTGTCGTCCTGCAAATATTAGCCAACATTTCGAGTGCAAACAGAGTGCGTAAGCGGACCACAGTCACATCATCAGGGTCCATAACTGAGCCATATGCTAATAATGTCCAGACATAATTCGAAATATCATTAGCGCTATGTGCTATGTGTGTGTGCTTCTATATACATATCTATGTTTATAATAGGCTTTAAACAAACAGTCTATACAGCTAATTATACTGGCGTAAGGGAGTTGTTGAAATATGTTTGTAATGGCTATTTAAATGATGAATATGATGAAAGCAGTGAAACATATGGCTCGACTCATGTTGCGAAGCAATGTTTTGTCCCCTACATATGCCTTAAGCTGTTGGTTTGAAGATTGATTTTATCGCTATTATATGTATGTATGTGGCTTAAATTTTAAATTGAAGTAGACTACAAGCTAGAGCATATTGACCTACCTCTTTTTCCTGTATTTATTAACAATATTTTTATTTAAATGAAAAATGCTAGAAAAGGCGTCTAAATTATATATTTAAGGCATACATATTTTATATTTATAGTTTGACACTTTCCTTTAACCATCTGGCCTTTCATTAATCATTTTCTTTCATTTTCAGTTGTATTTAGAAATAAAATTTCATAAATTATCTTCCAGTCTCATTTAAAAACCCTTCAGCACTATCCCAAACAGTTCAGTAAATCAACTCTACATTGTCTTATGAACAATTTCTTATTCCGATCTGCCTTTATTTTCTCAACTGCTTCACAGTTTAAACCAAATTCTTAACTTCTGCTGCGAAAGGGTCTATTTAAAATAAGCACTTGCTTAATCACAATTCCTGCTTGGGAAATTCAAATTTGCCCAGTTGTTGCACAATGTCACGTAGTTTTTCCACCCCTCGCTGATTCACTTCGTAAGCATCCAATTGCTGCATTGTGGCGAACCAGCGCTGTAGTTGCGGCCAACGCTCCGCTTCCACCGGAAACATGAGATGCACCGTGCTCAATGTGGTCACAATGGATACATCGGCGAGTGTCAGCTGTAAAAGCCAACATGCGACTGAATGCAATTAAGACAAAAAAAAAGGGGAATTGAATGGTTGTTGTTGTTGTGTTGCCTAACCTGATCGCCTGCCATGTATTTCTGGCCATCCAGATAGCGCTCCATGATGTCGTATGCCTCGAGGAGTTTGCGTCTATGGTAAGTCACATCCACATTGGCGTACTGCTTGCGCACGATTTCCGACTGGCAGATGGGATAGAGGGAAAAGGGTATTTGTAAATATCATAGCTTACAATTAACGCGACGGCTAAGCACCATTAAATCACTGTCACGGCGAAAGAGGAAGGAGCACTCAAAGAACAGGCGATTAAGCACCTTCATTCTGTCTGCATATTCCTTGGGCCACCATTTGCCCGCTTCATCAAAATGCTCCGCCAAATGGATGAGTATAACATGACTATCGGTGAGTAGTAGTTCATTATGCACAAGCGTTGGCACGCTATGCTGCGGATTTAACTAGAGGATAGATAATTAGTATTCAGCTCTGCATCCGTTTTGCATACACTCACGGCCAAGAAGTCTATCTCAAATTGTGCGCCCTTGAATAAGTCAACGAAACGCAGCTCTACATTGATATTCAGCATTTTGATCAGCATCAGACAGCTGCGCACGGGTGGACTGCGATCATCGTAATATAGGATCGGTGCAGACATAATAAAAAAACTGAAGAGCAGATAAAAAGAAAAGCAAACGAGCGCAATCAGAACTCATAAACAACTGAAAGACAAGACGATCTCAGCTCCGCTTTAATCTGTGATAAGTTAAGGAGAGACTGAGAGAGAGCGTGAGCGAGCAAAAGAGCGATTAGCGATCTTTTTGATCTCTAACTTGAAATCGATTAAAATAACTATACACTTAATATATATTTAATAATGTACTTCTTCTATAAATATAACATATTTATTGTTTAAATTTATTTAGCTTTATTTACAATTGACTTTTAAAAAATAAAATCATCAGTTTAGATTGTTTAAATTGCATTTACGCGCGCTGTGTGGAGCAACATTTGTAAACTGCCACAAGAGTAACGATATGTCTATCGATATACCCCATTAGTCGGACAGCTTAATCAGCTGTTGCGCATTCTACGATTTTCGCACTTCGGTCACATTGCTCCTACTACTGAGTTAGCGAATAATATTTGTAAATTGAAAATTAATTTTTATAACTAAAAGTGTTGAGCTAGCACATCCCACATTTAACAAATATGTACCTTACGCGCCAGTTAAGACAGCTGCCCCGGTCCAGGCTAACGCGGCACATCGCCAGCGGCAATGGCCCACATTACACAACCGCCGCACCGCAACCGGCTGCAGAGCACATTGAAATTCCAAAGCGCATTGAACGGTCGCCGACAGATCTGCTGCAGGCGTTGGCCAGCACAGTGGGACGTGATCCAACGGCACCGCACTATAAATATCACGACGATCCCTTTCTGATACCCATGTCGAACATCACGAAGCGAACATATGCTCTATCGAAGGAGGCTGGACGCAAGGCAGCAAATTGGATCAAAGAGGAACATCGCGAGCTCTTTATGGTAAGTGTTTCCCTTGAGTAGAGTGTATTATTAAGAAATATTTAACCTACCCCATAGCACCAAGAAGCCCAGCCACCCATTGAAAAGTTTGCCCCTTCCATGGTCTACACGGAAGAATCGGAAGTGGATGCGAGCTCACTGCAGTTGCTCATCTCACAAGGTGAGCTGAAGGATGCAGTGCTAGTGTATAATCTATTGGTACAAAAGGGCATTGAGGTCAGTGATGCCTTGAAACAGAGCCTATTAGAGCTGGTATGCTTCTACAACAACGAAGAGCCGTTACCAGAGGAATATATTGAGGAGCGTTGGTTTATGCAGAACAGTCGTCGACGTGAACGACATGGCAAGACGTGGAAGGATGGTGAATTAGCTGAGAAACTTTACGCAGCAATTGAGCCAAAGACACCACAATCTTATGCAGCACTTATACGTGGCATGGCCAAATATTTGCAGTGTGAGCGTGCATATGCCCTGCTCCAGGAAGCCAATGAGAAGCGTATCCAGCTGGACACTAATACATATAATGCCATCATACAGATTGTGAGCTTCATCAAGGATACAGCCGAACAACGCTGGCAGATGTGCACGTCGCTGTTGAACCAAATGGCCGAACAGCAGCTGAAACCCAATCTGGGTACCTTGAATGCGGTACTGGAGTGCATCAGCACATTTGGAAACTTCAAATTGGCCCGCAGCTCAGCGCTGAAGGTGCTGCCGGAATTCAAGCAACTGGGCATTGTGCCTAGCCTAGGCTCCTATTACTACCTTTTGATTATATTCTGCCGAGAACGTGCGCCCGTCTCACACGTCATCATAGATATCCTGAATGATATTGGCGGCAAAGAGTTCAAGGTGGAGCATCCGAAGGACACATACTTCTTTGCCACGGCTATGGATGTGTGCCGTAATCACTTGCATGATAAAGCTCTGGCAAAGAGGGTGGATGAGCTGCTGCACACTGGCAACAACTACGATCTGATAGGTGACTCCTTTAAGGAGGGCATTTATTATCGCAATTACCTAGCGCTGCTCTGCCAGACCGAGTCCATTGAAGACTTCATGCGCACCTACGATATACTGGTGCCCAACATTTACATACCCGAGCCGGGTATTATGGAAGAAATCTTGCGGGCTATCGAAATCAATGGAGCTGTAGAGCACGTGCCTCGCATCTGGTCGGACATGGTCATCTTCGATCACACTCATCGCGAGAGCCTGTTGCTTTACGTCCTACGTATTATGGTCGACAATCGCCCAAACCCGGAGCTGCCCTCCCAGCAACAGCTTCCAAAACAGTGTGCTAACGTAGCGTTGGATATGTATAACAAGATTGAGGAGTCGGCTAAGCGAATCAAGAAAGTCTCCTTTACTGGTCAAATGCTGGGCGACATTCTGACCCTTCTTGTTCGCGGCAACAGCAGCTTTGACAAGGCGACCGAGGTGTTTACTTACATAGACAAACAACAGCATCGCATTCCCGGCACACCTGCGGACAGTGCTCTGTTCGAGTATGTCGAAGCGTGCATCCTAAACAAAGCGCCCAGCCAGGCATTGATGGCGCTGCAGTACGCTGTGGAGAACAACATGGAAACGACTCCGCTGGCAAAGCGCATTCACGAGGGTTTCACGCTCAGCGAAGTGCATTTGGCGAAGCTGAAATCCCTAGTCGGCGAAGGATTTCTCACCAAATAAAATACACAGTGAATGTTAATAGTAATTAAATTCGTTTTTATAATTTGCAATAAATATAAAATGTTAAATAAATGCAAGGAATGCATTGTGTAATACTAAAATTCGACGTATTTGTGCTAGACCGTGAGATTACTTAGATATAAGACTAGTATCTGATGCAGATGGAGATTCATTCTTCTTTCGTCAGTGGCAGCCAGTTGACCCCATCGTGCGGCAACTCACTGCGCACAAACGGCGACAGCCAGGTCCAATACATGCGCTTGCCCAGCACCATTTCTATGTTGCCACGCAATCCGAGATTATACGCGTTGCTTGATCGCTCCTTCATTACGGCGCCCCGTTGGAAAATAGGTCGATGGAAAATGAGCAGCAACGTGGACATGGCGAATGCCAAGATATTCAGCTCATAAAGAACAAGATAAAAATTCTCCCAGCTGGCGTGTACAGTCAGGCTGATAGCAGGCACTAGGATGGTCACTAATGTGTAGGGGCGCCAATAATAGTCGGCATGAAGATACCAGAGATAAATGCTGGCATTAATTACAACGTAGAGCGCTCCTAATCCCATGTAGAATAGAAAGTAGAAGAAATAACGAAAATTGTAGTGCCCGATGCAGCAGCAGGTGAAACGGCAATGATGATTCCGCTTGAGCACGCACACATCACAGGTCTCGCAGTGCCACGAACGTGGAGGTACCAGCGCCTGGCATATATCGCACATATGCCAACGTTTGAGCAGATGCGGCTCCAAGGGTGGCTTCAATATATCCACTGAAATGCAAATCATTAGAAATGCCCAAATAACCCAGCACAATGATCGAGCAGCTACTTACTCTTGATAGAGGTATCTACCAGCATACAGGCCAACAGATTGGACGTTATATTGAAGACCAAAAAGATGCCGGCGAGCCAAATTGTTGTATACCAAAAACTGCCGACGTCGTGCAGCTCTGGCATAATAACTGTCACTTGGAATATGTACGTTAGCGGCACACCAACCGCAATAAGAAAAAAACATGCTGCATCGCCAATAGAGCGTGGACAAAAAGCCCTATACAATGGTCGTAATATCATCTTTACGCCAATACACTATTCTAATTTTTTAGGACTTTTAAAATTTGTTTGACATGCAAGTGGTGTACTTTTGACAATGTGTAAATATCGAACTTCAGCTAATCGATAGTATTATAGTATTTTATTGTAAATCGATTATCGTCACAAGTGAAACCGACAAAACTGTGATTTATTGTAGAAAAACAATTCTAAATTGTATACTAATTGAATTTTTAAATTAACACAATGATCAAGTTGTACCCATTTTCTGCAGTGATTTTTTTTAAATATACATTATTTATATTGAAGAGCTGTAAGCCCACTATGGCAACGCTCTTTAATGTTTACATTATCTGAAAAACTCTACACGCACTGGGACGGAAGTACTTCATTGCCTGCGAACCTGTTACATATGTCTTTTTTTTTCTAAAGCTATGACAACAACAGCTGTCAGGTGTATGCCCTGCCCCAATAACTTAATTCCCTATTGATCGTTTTAAACACATGAGAAATCTGCGGCAACTTGTTGCTACGCTACTTTAATGCCTCTATTCTTAGTTACTTAATGCACAACGATTTTCATTAAGTTAAGTGTGGCGGCACCCTACCTCAATCAGTTCGAAACATCTTTGGTTACAGCTCGTGAATCACCGTGACTGAGTCACTTATTTTCTGAAAGTGCTCATCTCTATTAAGAGCTATTAGCGCGAGCGTTCGCAAGTGAGAAGAAGAATAAGAAACAGAGGAGAGAGTGCGAAAATACGCTGTGTCGCTAATCAAAATCATTGAAACCATAAAACATTCCAAATGCTACGGTAGAAAATATCGTATCAGTCGTTCTCATTGCATTGCGCACTGAACACCTATAAACCCAGCGTACACGGCCCAAACACAATGACTCGACAAGGTGCGCAGCTGGCAGGTTTAACAATATTTTTATGTTGTATTCTGGAATTGACCACTGCTGGCGTCCCACTCAACCGATACGAGGCGGTATTAAAACAACAATCTGCGCCGGTGGATGAGGAGCTTGGCCTGTACGATGACAACGATAAGGTGGTTAAGCTAACTGTGGCCAATTTCAATGAAACTGTGCTCGAACAGAATCGCGGCTCGCTCGTCGAATTCTACAATACATATTGTGGGCATTGTCGACGATTTGCGCCCACCTACAAACAGATTGCCGAACAGCTGAACGCCTGGCAGGAAGTTGTCATCGTCAGTGCCATCGATTGTGCTGCCGAGGAGAATAATGGCATCTGCCGCCTCTACGAGATAATGGGCTATCCAACACTGCGTTATATGCGCCCAGGCTTTCAGCCCAGTGCCAACAATTATGGCTTGAAGCTGGAGTCCCAGAAACCCGAAGAGATACGCAGCATGCTCGCCGCCATGGTGGCTGCCGAAAATCAGACCGTGAACAACACATATTGGCCAA